GATCTGATCCTCCCTTAAACAAGGGAGATCCATTCTGCATGCTAGAATTTCACAGAATGGTCTGCAAAGTTTGGCCCTAGCTGGATCTCTGCTGAACAAAAGGTTAGTGCTTGACTTTACCATGATCAGATTCTCAGCCAGCATCCTCCACCATCACTGACCAAACACTACTATGGCATAATCCTCCCTTAGGACCTACATAACACTTAGGGCATTCTGAGCATCAGGCGTCTTTCTTGCTTTATTTTTTCCTAGCTAGGTAGTGCTTTAAATAGTCCCTAGGGGGCACTGTGCTACAGTATGAATATTCAGAAGTCAAGTTGAATTTTATTTAAAAACCAGAAGAGGAAGGGAATGTCTTAATCTTATGTATATTTTTTTCTTCAGATTTGGAAAACAATAAGTGTTTAAGCATGAGCAAAATATCTCAGAATGGGAGCTGTATCTAATAATGTACTTCAGGCAGATTATTAAATAATTTGCTTTGATAATGGCTGCACCTTGGAATTTTAAAATGATATAAAATAATGCAGAATACTTATGTAAATTAGCAAAAATACCATATAATACATTAAAAAGAAGTACTTCCTGATGTTCATCCTATCGGTTAAATCGCTAGCTTGGTAAATATTGCTCTCTTTTTACAATTACTCTTTTCTACTTTTTGGTTACATTATTATTTACTTTTAAGATGTGTAGCTTTCAAAATTTCATAGTGGCAAGGTAACATTCCTCATCCATTTCTCCATTTGTATCCTCACAAGAAATACTGAGAGATAGGCTGAATGTGGTAATAGACCTAAAATAGCCCAGTGAATTGCAAGTTGAGTAAAAATATGAATATAGGGATATTTCAACCTAGTTTCCAACACTTCAATCACTGCATTTTGTTAATATTAGTAGAATGGAATCAAACTTTACCATTTAACTCAGTATATAATTCAAACTCAACTCTATCTGCTTCTCTAAAGCCCATATCAATCTATATAAATATTGTCACAGCAATTATTTTGGGATCATGTCCATCATTTTATTTATAATTGTGCCCTTTTTTCAAGGTGTTTAGAATCCTTTCTATGTATGTCTTCCTTTCCTCCAAAGTTCATGCACAAACCTATTCTGTTGAGAAACAAGAATAATTTAAACATTCATTGAATTTTATGGGCATGTATGAATCTCACTGGATATCTGCCCAGGGCTCATTGCACATTAATCAATGATTGGCCAGAGCAAACTGATTGAATACCTTTAGGCAAGTAGTCCATCAGGTAGAATCAGTGCTGGCTGGAAGACCATAGAGTGCTTATCAATAATTCTTTATTAACATGGAGGTCTTGTTTAAATGGTCTTCCATAATTCTATCAAGATCTTGGAATAAGCAATCACACACACGTGTCTGTGTGTGTGTAGAGAGAGAGAGAGGGAGGGAGGAAGGGAGAGAGAGAGAGAGAGAGATACAAAGATATATGAGAGTAGCATGGAATACCTGTTTGTCAGAATTAGATGTGAAAACCATACAAGATAATAAATCATGTCATATGAGTTAACTACAAAAATATGTGCCAAAAGTGTATATATTATTACTGTATATTTAAGTTGAAGAAAAGAAAACATACGTAGAAGGCTATACTAAATCTAAATTACAGGATGTTAGCTTTCAGTTCCATGTTGGGATAACTGTCTAGACTGTAACACTAATTTGATAGTAGAACTATCAGCAGGGTGTTGGGGGTCTGTTTTCAGAAAGTCTACTTGAGTTGGATTTCCTTTTCTGTGTCAAAAAGAAGTTGAATGACCCAGAGTACTCTGTCCCAACTTGGTGACTCTCATATGTGTTGGATTTCAAGTGCTATAATAGTCTCCATCAGCATAGACTTTGCTCATTTTAGCTGGGGATTAGAGTAGTTGATGCATGCTTAGGCATTTCAGAAAAAGCTGGAGTACATTTAGTGGTGTACTCTTCCATACATGGTTATTAATCTAGTGAGACTTTAGTCCCAATTAAAGAAATACAATAATTCTTGTAGGCTTTGGGTAATTGGAGGTCTGTCTCTATTTAAAACATTCAAATAAATGTTTTTCTTGCCTTTCCACCAGTACTGGCTCATGGCCAAGTTTCCAGCAGAATATCTTTGCTCATCATCAGTAAACGTGTGATCTCTCTCCACTGAAAAGTGCTAGTTTGATGCAGACTTGGCACTCTGCCATGGCTTAGTGAGACATGAAGAATTTAAAATGAGCCTTAAACACACACAGGGATTCCTCCATTCTAGTTCTCCATTTGTGCATACAGCTTCTTCTTGGAATATGATAAACCATAATTTTCTATTAAACATAAAACAGTAAAATATGGATTGTATTTGTGTTCCATACCACAATGAAACCAAGTAGTAACTAATTAAGCCGACTATAAAATGGGAAGAGAGGATGAGAAGAAGCTACATAGGCCTAAGGCACATTCCAAACTCATTTACATATGTAGCACAAAACTGGTTTCACATCATGTCTGAACCAAGCTATTTGATGTAATGTGTGGTTTATCAAAATCTTTGCCAATAGTATGGAACCTATAATGAGTGCAGTTTGATGTTGCAATTTCTGAATTATGTGTAAGAAAAATGAAGATTAATAGCACAATATGAAGAAATGTTTTCATTAGCTTTTATATAGAGATGTATATCAGATGGGTTTGCCCCATGAAGATACAAATATAAATATAAATTCTAAAAATACCTTATTTATCATAACTCTTAGACTTTATTCATTCCAGGAGATCAGCTGTTGATAAAATGCTGTTATATTTTTATTTAAAGAAAAATAAGCACTGCAGTACAAAAGAATATATGCCACCAATTAATTCATTTATCTATTTATCCCATTTGTTTCCCACTATAATCATAGATATTTTAAGAGTAAAGGTGTGTATGCATGTGTGTGTTATGGAATATCTACAAGTACAAGTATCTATACTTTGATCTAGTAAACAGAATTGGATAAAGTTTTCTATTTAAGCTATTAAGGGTGACTTCATAGTTTAAGTAAAACCTGCATATTTTATTCTCTTTTTTTAGACCCTAAAAAACACCCTAAAGCTGTTGTTTTCTGGTTGGTATGTATTTGCTGACCCTCAAGAGAGTGATGAGGAAGAAAGATAATACCAAAGTATAGTGTACATGTTCCATTGCTATTCGGATTATTTTCAGAAAAAGAAGAGAGAAATCTCACTGCACTGTGCAACATTTTTAACTTAGAAGTTTGAGTCTGGGATTTTAAATAGTATCTTCGGATGTTACAAATTCTGTTTTGCTCTAAACAGGAATTATAGGAAGAGTAGGTGATGTAGATTAGTTCTCAAAAGAAAAGAAAGGCAACATATCTAAATATGACCAGTTTTATGAAATAAATACCTTGTTAAATAGAACTTTGATAGACATACCAGAGTTTTTTGGTTTTGTTTTTTGTTTTTCTTTTTAAGAAAATATTCTTTTTAAGAAAATATTCCACAAATATTTGAGGGGGCACTCTAACCACAAATATTTCAGAAGCTTACTAAGCTGATGAAACCTTTCAGTTATAATGGCTTGCATATGATGCTGATAGGAAAGGCACTTTTTTGCTTGCAGATGTAAATGTATACAGAACTTTTGAAGACTAATGGTTCAGCTATGAGCTATTATGAATAGGAAGTAGTTTGTATGATTAGCAGGAAGGATTATAATACTGGCCGTACTTGGTAAATTTGTGACACCATTTGACCCAAGAATATGGTTTCTCCACTGCTTCTCATAATATCCCCTGCAGTATAATGGTGGCATACTGGGTTAGGCATGGCAATGCAGATCTTGGTTAAAAAGGTAAAAAGATACTCAAGAAAAAAATTGAGTACAACAAGCAGAAAATCAGAAAAATCCATGTAAAATTTGTTGGTGAATAGAAACAAAGTGAGAGCTCGTATAATTTACATCAGCTTTAAGTAAGTAATTTTTCTTATAGGAAAAAAAGTTTTCAGATAGGAAATTGAGAGATAAATTATCAGAACATCCGACATTTATGCATTTTTCTGCAACACTTTTCTTTGACACTTTAAAAATGTTGACTTATACTGGGCATAGTTAATACAGAATAAGGTTAGTTTTGCTTTTTTTAAAAAAATAATATGTGTGATCTCAAAATTGTGTTAATTGCTAAGAATAATAGTGAATCCTGATCTTGCATTTATAGACCTTGTGGCATTGCATTACAGTAATTTATTTATTTGGTTGGTTCTCAACTAATGTTTCACTTCACCCATAAAACAAACTCTAAATGTCATATGACCCAATCCAATAACAACTGCAATTTAGCAACTTCATATATCCCATAGTAAAATATAAAAATCAGCAAAATTGTAATAATATAATACGATGCTAAGCAAAATGCATGCAAAAGATTAAATCCCATTTATTGGCTAGAGAACCCAAATCTAGGCACTCACCTCCCAATAAGCTTCCTAGTAAGGTCAGGTTTTAATGACTTTTCTATTGTCTACAGAGTTTATGCTGGGCCTATCCTATCCTGTGGACAATTCTACTCCATAGAGTAATATTATATTCTTAATTATGGAAATAAATCAGGGATCCTTTATTTCCTGTTGTTGACTAATGTGGTAACATCTGGGGTTGGGGATTCAGTCTCTTTCAAGGGTTAGAACATAGAAGAGACACCCCCAACATCAAATAACTTTCCAGGGCCTACTTCTGTTGTTCACATGTTGTATTCAATACTGGGAACACAGTGCTTAGAATGAAACTTACTGTACTCTCAGAAATGTCAGTTTTGATGCTTAATATTAAAAGCTTGTGTTAGACTAGCTTTCTTGTCAATTTATTCTAATTTGCAAAGCATTCTAAAGCACTAAACCTATTAACAAATGCTTCAATTTGGAGACCTTGATTGCTGTATCTGAGTTGTACCTATCTAATAATGATTTTTTTTTCACAAATGAATTAAGGGTGAGCAAAATGAAGAATTTTAGGACGATGCAAAGGCAACCAAATTTGGGGACACTATCCATGGTGCTGATTCTCTGCCTGGGGATTTCAGAAGTCATCCTGGCATGTCCTCAGCCATGCGCCTGCTATGTTCCCAGTGAAGTTCACTGCACATTTCGGTCCTTAGGAGCCGTGCCATCGAAAATTTCTAAGCATGTGGAACGAATTAATTTGGGGTTTGTATAATAATTTTTCTATGGAGTTTTATATTCTTGAATACAATTCTGTGAAATTAATCCTACGTGTTATCTAAGTATTGTTCATTGTCAAGGAAATAAACTGCAAACTGAAACAATACTTTTTATAAAGAGATCAATGACTGTTGTAAACCCTTTAATTAACTGTTATAATTCAAAATTTTTATTACATGTGAGATGTTCTCCAACCCCATCAATTTCTCACTAAATTTGTTTCACCTATATCAGGTAAATCAAATAAGAGCCAGTTTGGTCTAGTGGTTAAGACAGCAGACTAGAAAGTAGGAGACCATGAGTTCAAATCCCACCTTAACCATGAAAGCCAGATGGGTGATTTGGGTTATTCTCTCTCAGCCTAACTCACCTCTTAGGGTTGTTGTTGTCAGGAAATTTGGAGGAAGAGGGTATGTTGGATATGTTTGCTGTCTTCAGTTATTTGTAAAAATAATGAAAGCATGATACAAATAAATGAATAAATCATACCTGCTATTGGTACGGTTTTCATCTTTTCTACCCCTATCTTTTTAGTTTAATGATTTAGCCATCATGCTAGAAACCAGGAGACTGAATTCTAGTCTTGCCTTAGGCATAAAAGCCAGCTGGATGACTTTGGGCCAGTCAGTCTCTCTCAGTCCAATCCATCTCCCATGGTTGCTTTGGGAGAAATAAAAGGAGGAAGTCGTACTAGGAAGTACCGTATATACTCGAGTATAAGTCGACCCGAATATAAGCCGAGGCACCTAATTTTACACAAAAAAACTGGGAAAACTTATTGACTCGAGTATAAGCCGAGGGTGGGAAATGCAGCAGCTACTGGTAAATTTCAAAAATAAAAATAATTAATTTGGGAAACGATCTCACTATCTCACGTCACCTCGGGAAGGGAAAGGCAAAGCGCTTTTTGCCTTTCCCTTCCCGGCTGGGGCTGTTCGGAGTCGCCGCCGCCTGCCTTTCCCTTCCCGGCTGGGGCTGTTGGGA